AATTACAAATTCTATAAATTTCTTGAGGGATCAAATAAAGCCAAAGAACATTATAATTATCTCTCCTGCTGTGTATCCGCAGCCCATAAGCAAATCCAGAGAAGTCTTTAAAAAAATTTAATAATGTTCGAGCTGCTACTCCACCGTCTAAAGTTTGAAGTAAGGAAATTAGTAAGGAATCGATTTCTATCAATCCTAATTAAGAATTAACATACTTTAACAAATTACGTACGAACAGTGATAAAAATTGAACATATATGTCAACTCATACTGTACGTGATAATTCCTGAGTGCAACAAATCGATACTCTAAAAATGGTTTGCGTCTTTAAACTTTTTTTTTTTTCCTTCTTCACTCCTAGGAGGAGTATAGGGCTAGTGCATGATATCTATCATGCCCTAGTTTCTATAGTCATAGAGAGTTAGCTAGGTAGGTGACTAGCCTGCCGTAGTTTTTATTTATATTAATTATTTGAGGTTATTAATATTTACTGTTTATTTTTCTTAGTTTTTAGTATCGAATATTATGAATATGTATTTGAAAATTACTTGTTTAATATTTATTAGTTTTGCATATTAAGTTATATAATATTGAATATAATTTTTTTTATAGTGACCTGACCGGGGTTTGAACCCGAGACCCTTCGGTTAAAGGGCCGGTGCCATAACCACTGCACCAATGATCAGATGCGTCTTTAAACTTAAAAGACAATAAAACTACAATTTCAATTTTCCCTAGCAACAAGGTAGAATTGCTTCAGTAAGAATCAGAAGCGACAATTTTTTGAAATTTTTTTGATTTTCATAGTGAAATCAGACCACAATTAAGTTAATTCACGACTATAAGCTACATAATTAATTTTTTTCTATTCCTAACTTTTATCTAATGTTTGTAATTTCTCTTGCAGCTGTTAAAAAGTGTTATATTTTAATTTAAAAATTATATTATTTGAAAAGGATTAAAATGACAGCATTTATTTAATTTTTTTCTTATTTAAATATGCAAATTTTATAATAAATGGTATTTATTCAAATACGAGAAAAACATTAAAACCCAAAGAAATATCGCAAAAAAAGCAAATAGGTACGAATTTCTTTTTTACATTAAAAATCTTAACACTTAAATCAACACTTTGTTATAATCAAAATTTTAGGTTTTATTCTTAGAAAACTATTTTTTATGGGAGAATAGTTTTGAATAAAATCGTATAACAAATAAAAAGTAATTTTGATTTTCTCTTTTCCTTATTATTAAATGGAAATTTTCGCCATCAACTTCAATTGAATCAATTTCAAATTTATTAATAACCTTTCTTAAATAAAAATTTTTTGAGCTCTTACATTGTGTACAATAAAAGTTTGGGAAAACTGGCAAATCATAAAACTTTCTTATTAAAAAAATAATTTAAAATTTAATCCAATTTTAATATTTTTTTCCCATTTTAATTCTAATTTTAAATTAACTTGAATTGATCTGAGATGAAAATTTAACTGTTATTCATAGAGTGTATAGTATTTTTCCCAATTATACTTATATAACCATTTTTCTATAATAGAAAGTACCATATTATTATTATGTAAATAGAAAATTCATATATAAAGATCCTTCTGAAGATAAGAAATTCTAATGTAAATGATATGATTTAAAAATAATACAGTAATTACCATTGGAAAGAAATATTTTTCAGCATTTTGTAAATATGATCAATGAAAAAGAAAGCTGGTGTTGATAACAAATGAGCGATAAAATTTTCATAAATCGTAAGTATTTACTAGATTTTCTCACTCAAAGAAAATTTCAAAGAAATTTCGTAAATTTTTGAAATACAATTGCCGTAAAACATTGAATCCATTCAACTGAAAATCAAAGTTAAAATGTCGAATTTCAAAAAAAAATTACAATAAATTGTCCAATATATGCGACCAATAATAAAAGTATTTAAATTCAAAGACGAAAAGTGAAGGCTGCTCTCGTAAAATTTATGATTCTTTGGTATAAAAGTGCATTCTCGCATAAAATTCTTATCATTTAAAATTTGATAAACACCGCCTCCCTCTATTTTGTATATATCTATTCTACAAGACTAAATTAATATACAGGGTGCCTAATATCAAAGTGCACTGCTATTGTATAAGCCCTCATGAATAGTCAAAACTTGTTCTATGGAAATGTACAACTTAGCAAACGAGTTTCCCTTACTTTTAGAAAAATTAATGCCGTGGAGAATATCATATGGCATCTCTCATTGATACAGTCCTGTAAGTAAGTTTTGATTTCAATAATCCTCTTAATAATCTTTTCTCTTCGCAATGAAACTTTTTAATGTTCGTCATCATGCTACATATATTAAAGTGAAATGTACTTGATCTTCTGCAGTTTACGAAAATTAGGATTTCAATTGGGTCTTTCGTTTCATAACAAAATCTGTTTTTTATATTTAATAGGTTTTAATTCAAATTGCATTATAAAATTTGTTAGATCAATTATTTGTGCTAATATTCTTGTAACTTATGCTTTTTAACTGTTATCTATCTCTTACCCTTACCCACTCTTGCACATTATCCATCCGTTGTTTCTTCTTCAATTGAAACTCTTTTTTCGATTAGCAACTGTCTAGCAAAAATAATCTTTATCGCCTTAAGCTATATTGCCTAGCGATAATAATACAAGTTGATCAAGAGTTCTACCTACTTTATTATATTCTTTTATACTTGTAAGTTTGCAATGACGTTTCTGCACATTTTTATTATAAAATCGTTTCTCAAGGCTCGACACTACGTCAAAATTATCAAAACAAATTATTTATTAATATACTTTTTTTACATAATTATTAATTTCACTTATACATATACATTTATACGGAATTTATTAAAATGCATATATTAAATACAAAATCAATTTTGACTTAATAATATTCTACATATACGCCTTTAATTTATAGTGAAATTTTAAGAATTATTGAGAACGTAGAAGCAAATTAAAATTTAAATAAAAGAACAATTGAAATAATCTTATACACAAAGTACATTGCATTCTTGTTCTGTATAATTATATTTTTAATTAAAAAATTAAAATTATTATTCAAATTTGGAAAATAAGTACAAGAAATTTTATTTTAAAGATCTTTAAAAATCCCAGATATTTAAAATTGTGGAAGAATATTTAGTCTTAACATTATTCAAAATACCATCATGCTATTAAAATTCTGATGCTATGCTAATATTTAAACTTTATATATTATTAATTATGATCGTTTATTACATAGTAAAAATAATTGATAATTTATTCAGTTTCACAGCTTTGTATTGTGTTAAATTAACTCACAGCACACGGCTTAATACACGAACTACAATTGCAAAAACAAGAAGCCTATAAGAAAGAAAAAACATTCTTGCATTAATTTAAAATCAAAGTTAAGTTTCAAATAACCTTGCAAATATTTTTTATGAAAAAAGAAAATTCATTTTCCAAAATCAATTATATTTATTATGTTATTAAACGTATAAGATTTTAAACCCTACATTGCTGTTTATAAATAAATTAACTTGCAAATTCAAAACATTTTTAATACTTCAGGAAACTCTTTGTGTGTAATCATTAAAAGTAAGAGGAAGTCATAAATAAATAGGTATAGATCAGCATTATTAAAATACATTATTTCTAGCTCTTTATTGAAGTTATCTTCAATTTTATTCTTTTATTTAAAATTTATACGTTTTAATATTATGCGTTTTAAACTTATACTCGTACGTTTACCCCTTTCTACTATGCCGTGCCATAGAGTGTAAAATGAGTTATTTCAAACAAATTAGTGTTAGAGCTGTTGTCGCAAAACTCTCAAAATGTCATCATAAAAGACGAAATAGCAAACTGTGAGATATATGAAGTAAATGAACATCACAAAAAATGTATATAATGTAAAAAAAACCAAAGAAACTAAATAATTTCGTTGACATCACGTGAACGCGTATAAATGAACTCTACTCCCGCTTGCACTTCAAGATAAAAAAATTAAGGTAGAAGGAGAATTTTATCATTTGTTATTCTGGAATCTCGTAGAACAGGGCAAATTTTTATTAAAGGTGTTGTCGAAAAGAGTGATGTTAAAAGCATTACCCCTTACATAGAGAGTATGACATGTCTTTGTGACATTTATATATAATATAAAGCGGTACAAAGATCCAAGTCAAAAGTATTTGCTGTGAGGAAATTTAGTCTATAATTTTAACTTATTTAGTTTCAAAGTTCTATATTTCTGCTTACAATTTCGGAAGTAATTGAACGACAGATTAAAATTTATTAAAAATTTATATGGAATTTATATTAAATTTATATTGAAACTTTAAATTTGCATCAATATCAAATTGAAGGAAAATCGATTTATAGACAGTTGTTTCTAGCAACCACTGAAAAATAATTAAACAGACTATTACTTAATTAATCAAAACAAAATAAATTATGATCGGACGTTACAGATTTTCGACTCTTATTCTTATTTTTTAATGTTATTTAAAACAAAACCTTGATCTCAACTTAGTTTCATATATCAGACGATTGCTTAGTACAAGTAAACGTCACTTAGTCAACAAACTTGGTTAAAAGCGAGTTAATAGTAAGCGTCACATAAACTAAGTACTTAATTTCACTAAGTAATTAATTAAAAAAAAGTCAATACTATCGTATAGTCTAACCTTAGGCACCCTCTTACATGTATTTGTACAAAAAACAGACGAAAACAAGTTGAATTCGCTGAGTTTCTAGGATTTATATATTGCGATCTATATCAGCATATAGAGTTTATAGGATACGATTTATATCAGCATTACGAAGAAGAGAAAAGACATAACATGCATACTCGTATACTCTAAAACGGTCCTTAGGAAAGCAACCTAAAGAATTTTTAAATCCCATGTAAAACCTTCGTTCAACCCCTTCCAAAATATATGATTTAATTAAATATTTTAAATTTATTTTTATTTTTTATTTCTTTACATACTTACCTTTAAGTAATAGACTAGAGTATATAACAGCAATTAGTATAAAATTAATAATCCAAAAATTAATATCAATTCGCATTTTTAAATTTTATTATGTTAATAATAATAATAATGTGAAAGCGATGTTCAAACATTGCATTTAAATTATAATTTTCACTCTTATTTAATATTTTTCTTATTACCAAATACATTTGATTCAAAAAATTTTTGTCAATATAAAAATTTTATTGTTTGTTTTTCTCTTATAAATTCCACAAATTCAATCAATTAAATGTTATTAAGCGACTTCATTATTTTGTATGCAAAGTTTAAACTTTCAAAATCGTAATGTAGAAATTTAAATATGAATAATTTCCGGATCAAAATGTTGAAACTTTTTGTAATATTTCCAACACATATTTACTTATTTTTATGCTACAACTTTCAAAAACAAAAAAAAATCATTTTTGCAATATTTCAGATATGCATAAGTGCATTTAAATATTAATGATGCCGGAAGATATTAATTAATTATGATATGATTATTGAATATTAATTACAATTAAATTTAATTATTAATTTTAGATTTAATTAAATTATTATGGAATTATTATTTTGTAATGGAATGTTATTAAAATAAGTTTCATTATTTAACAAAAATTAAATACTTCTTCTGTATAATTATTATTTATTATTTTATAACCAACCATTAACTTATTAATGATGTAATGAACGTTTATATACTCATATTAGTCGCACTATTCCCAGAAGCAAACAGTTTTTTAACACCAATTTGTAACACTTAAGATTACCATAAGGAAATTGTAACACTTTTTATGATTATTCAAGATAAATTGGTTTCAATGACATCACAATCACTTCTATACTAAAAGTTCAACTTTATAAATTTCTCTCTTATTACTGTTCTTAAGACAATTGAATTGTCAACACACAAATTAGCTGTACATAATTGTTAAATTTTTGTTTTGTTATTGTATTTTAATTTAAAAGAAAACTTGTTCTTACATATGAAATGCTTGTTATAATAAAATGTATGTACTTAAATACTATTAACATATACATATCTTGTTTTTAATTTATTGTTATATGTAAAAACATTTCTTATAACCTATATATACAATTTGAATATTGGAAAATATTTTGTTATAACGAAAAATTATAGAAAAGAACAAAAAAATAAACGATATTAGCAACATGTTATTACTATGTCATGTTATATTTTATTTCATTTTTTTTTTGTTATACGAGTATAACAGTGCAAATATATGTATGTAAGTACTCTTATATTGCAAAAACAAAACAAAATATTTTTATGATAAGAATCTGTAATTCTATTACATATTGTTAAAGTATTTTATATGTAAAAATGTTGGGGGTTTGATTTAAATACTCTTAATTCTAGAAGAAAAAACGTGTTTTTAAATATATTAAAAGAAAAAAGGGGGTAATATATAAAATAAATTCGAATCAAACCAATAGTTTTTAAGGTAGCACTTTTCCTTTGAACAAGTGAAAATAATTTTTTTGAAACACCATCCGCTAAGCTGTTGTATTTCAATTACTTTATTTAATATGCCAAAATATGTCAAAATTTTGCATACGTTTAGGATTAAAAAACAAACAAAAAATTTGAAAAACCTTTACATGATACTTTTCGATGACATGTAATTTACCGGTAACTTTTAGCTTTTTTAAAAATTTGATTAAAGTTTTAGAAAGTGACAACTTTTGAAAGAGCTTGTAGGGTCTGGATGGATGTTGAAAAAAATTTACTTCTAACGAAATAAATTATTTATTAGGGTCTAAAAACTGCTAAACTTTTATACTTCAATAACTAGTTAAATTATTGCTTCAAAAATTAGATAAGTGTTCATTTCAACGGTCATGTTGTTATAGCAATGTGTGACTATGCTGGATTGCAGTGGAAAAACCCTGTAACTGCAGTACTAAGAGTCTGCAGAATGTTTGTGATTCCGATACAATAAATAATCGAAAAATTGCATATCTTTTAATTTGAGCTGCTATAACTTTTAGAGGAAGTTAAAAATGAAATAAGTTTTTAATAAAAATTTTTTTATACATATTCAAAAATTTTTGTTAAAATAAGGGTGAAGAAGTTTTGTAAGTATATAAGCAAGATGGACAGATGGACATATAGAATGAAACCAATAAGCATTTTTTCTCAATTTTTATGGGAGAATTTCTAAAAACATTTTTAGCAAAATATCAAATATAATTTTGTTCTTGCAAAGATTTCAAATGCTAGTTTTACTTGAGAATAATATTGTTTTTATTATCCAATAAAATGTAGTTTAAATAAACTATAAAGTGTAATTATGAAATCATATGTTGAAATTAATTGAGATATCTAAAACTAAAGGGAGCGTCTTAAAAAGTGGTATCGAAAAAATAGGAAATATTAATTAAGAACATCAAATACGTGGACATTTAAGCGATAGGAAATATATTTTTAAGGTAAGCTACATAGAACTGAATATCATTTCAGAAGATCGGAAATTGGCAAAACTAAATTGAAGGTTAATATAGAAAATTTTACTTCATCAATATAACAACATCTATTGGATAAGAAGATGAAAGTAAATCATTTACTGACTTTCTCAATATTGCGAAGCTTTTCGAAAGTTTCGTTATCATAATGTAGGTATAATACAATTTCTCGAGACATATAAAAAAAATGTTAATGGCAATTTAGCTAACCAAATAAAATAACAATTATTAAAATTTAAATACACATATGTGTATGCATATTTTGATTTTACAAATTATTATGCTAATAACAACATCCAAAACCCAGGTGTAAGTCTTATATATTGACTTAATAAATCGAAAAAAATAAACACCACATGCACTAACATATATGTACATTTTATACTTTAGCATATTCCGCGTTCTAATTAGTTATACAGTGTTAAATGTGTTAAAACTTGTTACAAAGTCTTAGATTAACTATGCATACATCTAAATATTTTAACATTTTAATCCTACGGTCATATATTAAAAAAAAAAAAACATCGTGAATTGACCTAGTTCTTAACCAAATACACACATTTTATTTTCTGGGACACCTACATAATTTAATGTCCATATATATATTATTTTAATTAGTATTTTACCACTTTTAAATTAAGACTCCTTTAATATAACATCATTTCCTTTTTTGATTTATAAAGCGATAACAAAGGGACGATTTCTTGATAACCGAAATAAAATGAACGAATTTGTTTCTTTTGTAATAAGTATTTATTTTAAATATTTTTGTCCTTTCGGTAGCCTACATTAATAATTTATTTTAAATATAAAAAGTCATCAGAATAAGTATTTAGATACCTATTTACATATAAAATATAAAATATACGAAAAAATATTATAATGTTTTTTTGATTTTAATCTAACCGCAATGAATTCTCTTAGAAAATAGAATTTTCACGATTTTTTTTATTTCTGTACAAAAATTTTGATCCTATCATAAATCATTTAACAAGTTAGTTATATTTTCTGTAACATGCGTGTGAATGTGTGTATATTATATTATATTATTTAAGGTATTTTATTTAATAAATTGAGAATAATGTTAAGAATCCTGGAATTGTAAGCAAATAAGTTCCCTATTTAATATAACAAAAGAATATTATAAAGTTAACAGTAGTGGCCAAATTACTATTAATTTAGCAATTTTGTTTTTGGTTGTAGGATAATAAAGCTATTAAAAATAAAGATAATTTATATAAAAGATTTTTAAACTGTTTGCTTTTGGAGTCCTGTACATAAAAAATCTGTAAAACTACCACTAACCGTTCAGTTTCTCTACTGCTTCCTTCCCAAAAGAACAGTTTCTTCTTAAAAAACTCCAAGAGACCTACCGTTGAAAACTTCCAAAAATAGTTCCAGACCATTCGGAAATTTCAAGTGAATTTTAAAAATATTTCTAATAATTTTGTAACCTAAATTTTGCTCTTACAAATTTTTGGCCAAAATAACATATACCTACGACCTGATGAGCTTATTAAGTACGCCTATATAAAACAATTATTATGATAATATTATGTATCGATACAAATTACGTAACATGCCAAACTATATTATCATTCCGGTTTCTTTGTTAAATTTTTTCTCAATATAAAAGTAATAAAGTTCATAATGATATACCATTAAAATTCATATTAAAAAAAACAAACCAATAATTTTTCAAAATCACGAATTGTAATTATATTTTTTAAGACATTACGTTACAAATGTATATGTAAAAGATCGTGTACATATCATATAATTTCATCAAAAACTTAAACAATATTTTCAAATCTCAATAATTGTTTTTGCCTAAAACCACTATGTATACGATAATAAATTAAATAACACTGTTTTTCTTACTAAATATAAGTATATGTATATACATATGTGTTATGTTACTAAGTATTTTATGATTCGCGATCCATATTTGATTTATGAAAAATTATTGTACCACACAATATTTTTATTGAAATCAAAAATAAAGAAAAAAACATTTATTCTTTAAAGGATCACCGCTTATTTAAAAAGGTCCAGAATGTATAATTATTTTTTGAAAAATGTTATATTAATTTTCAATAAAATTTCAACTCAGCTTTCAAGCTTATAATTTTTAGTTAATATCTAATAATTATCCTTCATTGTTCTTAATTTCTGATGTTACGGTCAAATTTGTATTTATATGCAAATAAGAATTTTCGGTGAATCAAAGGTAGTAATAAAGAACCCCTTTTTTTTAAATGATTGTAAAATTTGCAGAAACTGATGATTAAAATTGCTATAATTTTTAAACACTTGTACAGATATTCGGTTACTTTGATGCCCATTGCATTATGATAATAAATTTTTCTTTATTTACGAATTTTTTTTTATTTACGAATTTTTCTTTATTATATCGAAACTAAAAAACGTTTAGCAGGTTTTGCAATTATATTTTATTAAATTTATTATACTTAACATAATATAGGGGCTACGTATCTTAATAATTATTTTGACATATTGCTATAACGGAAAAATCAAATACAACAGTACGTTGTTGTACATAATGCGAATGGAGTATAGAAGAAATAAATTGTATATGTTAAATATGCTGTATTTAACGGTAAGAATATTTGATTGAATTTATAGAAAGTTATTGACGTAAGAAACAGAAAAATGATTTGATAACAATTGTTTTCAACCTATCATGAATTTTATTTGATGGGAATTAGATGGTATTCTTTTTTAAACTTTCATCAAATTTTAATAAAATCATACAAAATTATTGTTCGATCTTTTATATATTTTATAGTTATTTGTATAATATCGCACAATAACACTTGGAAGGTAAAATCTTATAAGATATTTTGTATTATAAAAACTTGTAAGATAAGTTGAATTTCCTACAGAATACCGTATTTCCCGATTATAAACAAATTGTTAGAATTTGACAAAATTGTTAGAATTTTGAGGCATCGAAGCTCTGGAAGGGGATACAAAAAGCAAAATGTCAATTGGTGTTTTTTATTCGTTTGAATGCATTCTTACAGCCTGTTTCGGGAGTACCAATAAATCTCGTACTTCCTGAATGCACATTTACATTTACACATTTACATACACATTTATTCAATTTTTCGATTGGCATTACTAATTTGTTTGATAGTTGCACCTAGAACTATGCAAATTTCATAAAACTTTTATATAGAAAAATGAATCCCAATTAGGTGGAATGCAATATATGTATTCACTTGTTCATTATAATTAATTTTAGAAAAAGTAATTTGATCATGACTGTATTCAAAAGAAAAGTATATTTTAAAAACCCTTCCGTAAAAAAAACACACGTTTTTTCTTTAACGTTAATTTGTTTTTTTTTTTTTTGTAACTTTTTTACCCCTTAATGAAATTGACCATCACCACCACCATCACCGATTGTTCCGCTCTACAAAAACTAAGTGGAAAAAAATAATAACAACAATGAAATTAAAATAATAAAAACGGAAATACATTCAATCAACCTGTTTTCTTTGAAATTTTATTTCATTATGCATGTGCTTGCTTGTATGTAAGTCTCCAGTTACATGTATGTGTGTATAAGTATATATTTGTTTGTTAACAGAAGATTATAACGTATTGTAAGCGTATATAGTTATTGTTATTCTTATGAAAAGGGACTGGACTCCTGTTATATCCTTTTTTTTGCTTTTTTGCTTTGCATACTATTAAACTAGATTCTAAATCAAAAGTCATTAACCCTTGTTTTAGTGGACTTCTATTACGAAAATACTATAAAAAGAAAAGACCAAAATGAAGAAAAAGTAAAATTTCTTTAATAAAAATGTAAGAAAACGAATTTTTAATATTATATTGTACACATACACACATGAATGCTACCATGTATAAAATACGAAATAGGGGTAAATGTATAAGAATTCGTAAAGTTGTAAAACAAAGTATAGTTATTAATAACAAATTCTTGTTTAAGCAACTGCACATGATCAAATAATGTTGACAAGCTTCGATACGTATTAACCTATTAAGATTTTGCATATTTTGATGTATGAAAAACATAGAAATGTAGGTACTCGTACATATTTTTTGTGATATTTGCATATTTTTGATTTTGCTTGCGTACAGTTTTACGATTATAAATTTAATTAATTTTTAATGTTTAACAAGGATATACTTAAGGTCTTAGAAAAATATATTTCCTTATATAATTAATAATTTTAAAGTCATGGATTTCGTGCATCATAGAGCCCGATACACAAATTTTGTAATTTTATGCAGAAAATTTTTATACGAAATTTAACTCTGCACATAAATTTTAACTGATATGAAATAGTTACTATAACAAAAGAGTAAATGTAATATTTAACAATTCACAAAAAGAAAAGACTAGAGCGTTATGTTGTCCGATTGTATTATGTTTTTTGCCGGTGATTAGTTGAATGTTTTAATTGAGTTATTTATAATTTTTATAAAAATATGTTTAAATACTAAATAATAAAAAGGGATTTATAAAAATTATTTTTAATCTTAAAAAACTACTATTATTTTTGCTTTTCTTTTATATAAGTGTTAAGCTATTCGATATAAAAGAAAACCATCATTTCTTTTATATTGAAAGAGCTTTGTCTATTATACAAGTATAACTATTTAGACTATAGAAAGTTATATTATAATTATACGCATCATTATAAGATATCTTTGTATTTATAATAAAATAATTTAAAAATACAAGAAACAGAAATTTAATTGTAAATAACCGCTATAATGAATTATAACACATATAAAACGCGTAAAAACTACATCTATTATAGATATAGCAGACATAAAAGATTAAAATGTTATATGTAGCATAGATGTATACCCATTAATTAATTATCAAAAATGATTATTATAGAAAGAAATTTATACTAAACATTTTCAAATTATAACTGTAAATAAAATTAAATTATAACTTTTAAACTAACACGCAATTTTTATTAAATATAATCACATTTAACGCTTCAGATAATTCATATGAAATAGCAATTTTTAATTAATTTCAATATAAATGAGTTTTTATGAAATGCATTTATAATGTATAACAGTTATGCTTTTGCACAATATCAGCCATATTGAATATGAATAAAAGTATTGTTTTTATATCAATTATAATTAAATTTTTGTAATCTTAGTAATTATCGTATGTATTACTGATTAAATTTCAATTTTAAATATAACAGTGTGGAATACTCTTATAATCTTAAATAATATAGTTAAAATTCTCTTTATATACAACTACTATTCCACTATGTGCATATTATTAATATTTGTCTGTATACTTTCAGATTGAACTTGCTTTCGATCATCACTTATCAAAAACTTTCAAAACAAAATATTCAAATAAAGATTTCATATTAACACATAAAAACTAAACAAAAATAAAATCAAAACTTTCTCCAAATTAACAATAACTTATTATTATTTTTGATATATTTTGATGATATTAATTAGTAACTGAAATAATGTCTTCAAAATGTAATTACAATTGAATTCTTTATTAATTAAATAATGTGACAAAACACAGTTTATCATAGAAAATTAAAACCATAAATGCATAAGCACAAAATATAAAAAATTATTTTATATTAAACTGCTTTCAGTTTTATATTATTTAATTTATGTATGCTTGTATATTATAAATTATTTAAACTCCTTATAATTTATTCCTTACAACAAAGCTACATAAAAAAATACATATATAATCCGTTATATTATTAAGGAAGCGCGCGTATTTTTTTTTATTAAATTTTGTGACCGCTCCGTTACAATTCTTTTAATTTACTGAGCTGAAAAGTTGGATCACTCAAGAAAACCTTTCTGAGTAGATTTTAATGTTATACATATATTCATATTTACATACAAATATTTTTGTATTTAGTTTATTAGTTACCTTGTTTCTTTTTCGAATTGTTTAATAAAAGTATATTTTGCTTGTTATTTTTTTTTTTTTATTTTTCGGTTATAATTTCTTATTATACTCTATACTTACTGCATGTGGCTACCTTTATATTCTATCGTTTTCGATTTTATATATAGATATCTACATGATACACACATATTATGTGTATGAATTATATGTAAATATAGTCAGGTGTTTGTTTATTTTTGTATACCATCAAAAATATAAAATGTATTATGATGAATAAGAGCAAATTTAAATGTAAGCATAAACTTTTATTTGGCTCGTTAATATGTGAAGAGTAAAACTGAAGAATATTATGAAGAGAGACGATATGAAAACAATGCAAGTGGAAACGTTTCCAGTTCACCCGTCAAGCGTTGAAGGAAGAGTTTTCTTTTATTTCTATTATAGTATAAAATATATACGGATACGTATGTATGTATACATATAACGCAACATTATATTATTATATATTTAAGTTATATACATGTTAAGCATAAGGAATGTGTGTATATTTTAATCATAAACCAAAAAAAGAAATCATTTTAAAACAAAAATTATGATCTTTCCATAATATTTCAATTTTTGGTAATTTATTTAAATATCGAACCATCGTCCCATCGCTATTTCATAACTAATTCTAATTTTGTTAATTTTTGAGAGTAACACACATTACTTGTAAATAATAAGTATAGGTAGCATTTTTCGATTACATATATATTTAAAAATTAAACATAAACTAACAATATTCTAATTTTATCTACTTTATGGGGTAAACCCAGTAAGATTAAAACTTGCCTTTGAAATATTTAAGCACTTTTGTAAAATTCCTGTTCCGAAATAAATTTTAACAAGTAAAAACGTTTCAGTCGGTATAAACCGATTGAATTATACCCTGCACCTTTCGTTATTGTGTAGCAATTACTCGAACCTGTGAAGTCATTCTATAGAAACTTCACGGATATGTCTGACCTATAATTGGACATCCGACTGCCAAGTTTCATGAATCTGACTTTTTAATTTTTCCAAATATTTAAAATTAGCTTTTGGAGTTGTTTGGCAAGTCCCCGAACCTGTCAAGCAATTCCACTAAAACTTCACAAATATATCTGATCTATAATCGGACACACGACTGTCAAGTCTCATGAATCTGACTTTATTATTTTTCCAAATTTTTAAAATAAGCTTTTAGACTTGTTTGGGAGCTACTCGAACCTGTCAAGCAATTCCACTAAAACTTCAGAAATATATCTGACCTATAACTCGACACAAAACTGCCATGTTTCATGAATCTGACTTTATTATTTTTCCAAATATTTAAAATTAGCTTCTGGAGTTGTATGGCAGGTACCCGAACCTGTCAAGCAATTCCTCTAAAACTTCACAAATATATCTGATCTATAATCGGACATCCAACTGCCAAGTTTCATGAATCTGACTTTATTATTTTCCCAAATATTTAAAATTAGCTTCTGGAGTTGTATGGCAGGTACCCGAACCTATAAAGCAATTCCTCTGAAACTTCAGAAGTATATTTGACCTATAATTGGACACATGACTGCCAAGTTTCATGAATCTGACTTTATTATTTTGCCGAATATAAAAAATTTGCTGTTGGAGTTGTATGGCAGCCACCCGAAGCGGTGCAGCTATCCCATTATAATTTTTAGAGCATGTGTAGAATATAATTGGACACATGTATACAAAATTTTATATTTATAGCTCTATTAGTTTTTGAAATATTTAAAATAAACTCTTTGAGTTGTATGGCAGCTACCCGAACCCGTTGTCCGAATTAGTCCAATAACAATAGGGCTCGTCCTTGGCACAAAAGAAAAAACTTGTGAAAGTTTGGTGTCGATTGCATTATTCGTTTTTGAGTTATCGTGCGATCGGACGGACGGACGGACAGACGGACATGTCTAAATCGACGCAGAATTTTACGCTGAGCAAGAATATATATATATATGTCCATACCGCAGATGACTCCTTCAAGTAGTTACAAACTCCATACCAAAGTTAATATACCCTTCACGAAGTGCAGGGTATAAAAATACTTTTCAATAAAGGATTGGTATACCTTCACTTTTATCACTATTATGACACACTTAGAAGATACGCTGAATTTACTACAATTCTTTAAATTTTAAATACATATTAAATAAATTCGGCATACTAAGTGTATGATAAAATTGGTAGAAGTCTATATTAATTCCAACCTTTTACAACACATTCAAAATAAAATATCCAAGAAAAATGCAAGAAAGTGCATAATACCACGTATTCACATTAATGAATAAAACAGAGTCCGACTTGTAAAAGCGAAACTCTTTTGCCATCCTACTAATCCAAAACAAAATTGCTTCTAGACATTTTTCAACTTATTGTTTACTCCTATAAAACTCAAATAAGTTTGCCGAATTTTCTCTATATGAAGACTTGTATTTGAAATTTTTGATATCTGTATGTAATATCTGTGCTCTAATAGAAATTCTTTTGGGAGTAAATTTTATGCTTATAAATGTGCTTGAACTGAACTATAAAAAGAACTCGATATAAAAAGGACAAAAGTCGTAAAATTTGAATGTGCTAAAAAGAGAATCCGACTGTGCTTTTATTTTACTAAGTTTCATAACTTTATGCTGTTAATATCAAAAGGATATTCAAATTTTACTATTATCAGAATAGTAAAAACTATTTAAGATATACATTCATTACATTAAAAGTACATTGTACAAGGTTGGTTGGTTGGTTGGTTAGAGTGGCCGGTGCGACCCGACTGGCCAACACCCCAATTAGCACCGACGTGCCGTTTTGCTACCACCGCCTCGTGAAACCCGGTTGTCAAAGTACGTTGGTCCAGGGCCAGCGATCAGAGCCACCCCGTTCTTTTAAGGAACTTATTTACGTCCCCGATACTTTTATTAGAAATGTTCCCCAGTTCCATTATGTCCGTTTCCCCAAATGACAACAACCTGGCCCTTTGAAGAGCCGGACACTCGCAGAGATAGTGAAAAAGCGTCTCTTTTTTGTCTATCTCCCGACAACTGCGGCATGACGTATTAAAGGGAATTCCCAGCCTAGCTGCATGATCCCCCACAGGCCAATGCCCCGTGTACACAGCCACTAACTTAGCTATGTCCGGTCGAGGCATCGCCAGGAGGCTCATTGATTTCTTATGGTCGTATTTCGGCCACGTCTTCCTAGCCGTTGCACATGTGCTCAGGCCCCTCCACCTGCGGTCCGCACATGCCACTTGGAAGCGGTATATATCAGTTTTGATGGTGTTTATAGGGACAAGAACTCGCTCGGCCCTGGAGCCGTCCAATGCCGACCCACATCTGGCCAGCTCGTCAGCCCGCTCGTTTCCTGGTATGTTACTATGTCCCGGAACCCAGAGTAAGGTGATACTATGATGACTGCACAATCTCGTCAGCTCATCGTAGCAAAGCCCTACCAACTTTGAGAATATCTTTGGCGAATTTAGAGCCAGAATCGCAGCCTGACTATCCGTCACAATTGCGACCTCCCGGGCCACAACCAAATCCCTTCCCAGGATTTCGCATGCCTTCCATATGGCGAATACTTCCGCCTGGAACACGCTCGATCCGTTGGGAAGGCGATATGACTCCGATATGTTCTGAGTCTCCGAAAATACTCCAGCACCGACCCCATTCCTATCCTTGGAACCGTCAGTGAAGAGAGCAACATCAAAGCCTTGCAGTGGAAGATTTCTTTTCCACTGCCCGCGAGACGGAAGCTCAACCCGAAACTTCTTGTCAAGCTCAAGTCTAGGGATGCAATAGTCTGTAGCATCCGCAACCACTCCGTCCGGTAGTGACTGAAGGACATTGCCGTGGCCATACGGCCTTTCGTGCCAGCACTCAGCTTCTCTGAGTCTAACGGCGCTTGCCGCGGCCAGATTCTTAATATGGATGTCTGGTGGAAGCAAATGGAGGAGTACATCCATAGCGTCCGTGGGCGTCGATCTCAATGCCCCCGTAATGCTTATGCATGCAGCCCTCTGTACCCTACCGATCTTGGTACAGTTGTAAGCTTTCCCCAACGCCGGCCACCACACGAGTGAACCGTAAGTTAATATAGGTCGTACAATGGCCGTGTATAACCATAAAACCATTCTAGGTTTCAGCCCCCACCTCCTGCCGACCATCTTTTTGCAGGTGTAAAGTGCCGTACAGGCCCTGTTCACCCTCTCTTGCACGTTAAGCTTCCAGTTAAGTTTAGAGTCGAGTATGACTCCCAAATACTTAACTGCCGGACTCAAACTGAGCCGCAAACCACCCAATCGGGGCAGTCCAAAGCTCGGGATTTTTGTCTTAGTCGTAAAAAGTACAAGTTCCGTCTTGGCTGGGTTCACTCCAAGGCCACATCTTTTAGCCCAAGAGCTCACCACATTTAGAGATCCTTCCAAAACCCCACTGATTGTTGGAAGGTCAAAGCCGGAAACCAGGATTACTAGGTCGTCAGCGTATGCCACTGCCTTCACTCGCCTTTCTTCAAGTTGCAGTAGAACCTCGTTCATAACAACAAGCCACAAAAGTGGCGAAATCACCCCACCTTGGGGCGTTCCCCTACTAATGTACCTTGCGATACTACTATCACCAAGATCCGAATACAGGATCCTGGTCCGCAGCATGGATAATATCCAGCGTACCAAAGCATCTTCCAACCCCAACTGAGTCAGAGAATTTTCTATGGCCCACGAACTAATATTGTTGAAAGCCCCTTCCACGTCTAGAAAGGCCGCCAACGTGTATTGCTTATAATGGATAGATTGTTCGATAGTCCTCACTACCTCGTGTAGTGCGGTGTCTGTGGACCTTCCCCCGCAATATGCATGCTGGGAAGGCGAAAGTCGAACTTCCTTCATTCTGTTCCTGAGCCCTAGCTCCAGAACGCGCTCCAGCGCTTTTAGAACGAAGGAAGTCAAACTAATTGGTCGAAAATCTTTGGCGCCCTCATGGCCCCTTCTTCCCGGTTTGGGAATGAAAACAACTTTTACACGTCTCCACGACTTGGGCACGTATCCAAGGATAAGACAACTTCTAAAAACTTTTAGAAGCCACGGAACTATTAGTTCCTTCGTCTCCTGTAACATAGCTGGAAATATCTCATCTATCCCCGCCGTTTTGTATGGAGAGAAGTTGTCTATCGCCCAGCTAACCTTCTCCACCGTTATAATATCTTCAACCATTTCACTCGACACAGGCTGCCCCGGAAGGGAATCCAACTGGATAGCCTCCCGAGCCGACCCGGTATTACCCGGGAAATGCGTGTCCACTAGTAAATTGAGAGTTTCCATAGATGTTTTTGTCCATGTCCCACCCTCATCCTTCAGAAAAGAAGGACCGGTATGGTCCTTGGAAAGCACTCTGCTCAATCTGGCAGAATCTCTGGTACATTCTACAGTTCCGCAAAAATCCCTCCAACCCTGGCTTTTTGCGGAACGGATAGCCCTTTTATACTCTCTCAGGCACTCCTTATAAGGTTGCCAGAACCCATTCTTGTAGCAGATATTGAAGACATCCCTGGTAATCTTCCGGAGATTACTCAAATCTTCGTTCCACCACGGGGGATACTTTTTTTTTGAATATTTCAAAGGACAGGATGCTCTGAAAGCCACGCCCATGACTTTCTCAAATCCACTGATTTGCGCATCAAGTTCTTCGACTTCCTTAATATAGTTGTTAATATCGGGCATGACCATGAGCTTGGCCCGCACGATGGCTCTGAATTTAACCCAATCTGTTCTTTTAGGGTTCCTAAAAGGTTTGGGATTCCCAACTTCGAATCCCACCGTGAAGACTATCCAGGCATGGTCAGAATACGACCTCTTGCTAGATACCCTCCAGTCCTCGATTATACAGTTGTTAGTTTTGAGTGTTATATCTATCACATCTTCCCAGCCAGCAAACCTGTCTGTGCTAGGAAAAGTGAAGGTAGGGGTGTTGCCTCTATTTGCTATCTCTAGATTACTATCTAAGACAAAATTAAATAAAGACTCACCTCGTTCGTTGATCTCTGTGCTGCCCCAGAGGGTATGTCTGGCATTGGCGTCGCAACCCATAAGCAGACTTGCTCCTTCGGCTGCGCCAACCTCTGCTAGGTTTTGAACTTCCGGAGGTGGAGCAGGCCTATCATGAGCCATGTAGACTGAGCTCATTAATAGGTTCCCGCCGTTTCCTTCAATCCTCACCACCGTCATGTCTGCGGTACTGAAATTAGAGCAAAGAAAGGCTTTTATATGTTTTTTAGTTAAGACACAAGTTCTGATCTTACCTTCAGCTGGATCTACAATCCTGTAGAATAGGTTGTATTTCTGGGTGCCCAGTCCCTTTATCCTGTTACCGTTCACCCAAGGCTCCTGAATTAGAGCGATGTCGATGTCTTCCTCTTCTAGGAAGATCAATAGGTTATCCGAGGCTAATCTCGAATGCTTGAGATTAACCTGGATTACCCTCATCGCTCTTGCTCTTATCAGCCACCTCCATCTGTTCAAGGAGCTGGCTCGCTTCTTCTATGGCGTCCCCTTCTGGGTCCGCATTTCGAAATATTTTGAGCTTGGCATGCCGTATGCCAAACCGCAGTCTGTTGTCCCTCCTGTCCAACGGCTGTAGACTCTCCTCATTAATGAGAAGTAGGAAGGACTCACTGTTTTTCTGAGGTTCCTCCTTCTTGATAATTTGCCAATCATCCATCGGCACCTCAGGATTGGCAATCTTTAGGACCTTTAGCAACTTGTCCCCCGCAATATTCATCTTAGGGATCCAAATACGAGCCCGGGGTCTCCTAGGAATTTCCTTAGCTGGGATGAGCTCAATCTTGGACCCATCCCATGTATCGCTAATCTTAGCAACACACGAACTAAGAAAATCCCCGGAAAGCCGGTCCTCGCATTTGATCACCCTGTAGCCCCTGACTACCTCAGATGAATCGAAGCTCAGGACTTCGTTGCCATCGGTCGTTAGGAGATGTTCAACTACCATCTCCGATAATTTTGCTTCGACCTTGCACCATAATTCGGAGGACAACTTCAGGTTGGTAGACTTTCTGTCCACCACCCCAAACTGGAGATGATCACGGACCACCTCGCTCATTGTTCTCCCCTGTGCATGATTACCACTTGATGTTGAAGGTCTGGTTGTCCCTGGCTTGACGACCTTCGACCTTTTGCTCTCTTGAGCATTTCTTTCTTCATCTTGAGACCTTACTCTTTTTGTGGTCTCCTGAGGCTTCGTGCTCTTATACGCATTGTACTCGTCAATTACCTTCTGGTATTTGACTTTGTCCTCCGCGTCTTTTTCAGAAGTTTTACCTTCTGCTTCATTTTGGGCAATCTTGCCTAAAATGAAGATGGCCTTCGAATATCTCTTCTTGAGTACGAAGGCGGGTCCTTTTGATTTTCTGCTTTTGGAACATTGTACAAAGAAATAAAATTTTAATAAGATTAACTTATTACTTTCATGTTAATAGAATTGAAACCTATAACCCCAATGTAAAGAATTTTTCCTTTAAAATACTAATATACTTATCCAGAATATTTCAAAAATTGGTTATTATTTTTATTTATTAGCAATTATATGTTTTTTATAATAACCAAAATAAATTAAATATTCAATGTAATTAAATTTAATAAAATTACAATATTTTGCATTATAATTTAATACAGTTTAAAAAATTAATCTATTCACCGCCTCATGTAACAAAAATAAAAATTTAAAATTTAAGCTATTACAAATCACAATGAAAATATCATATAACATAAAAAACCACACATATGCTTTAATACCTTCGAAACAAGTTTAAAATAATAAAAAATTAAATAGGTAATAATTTTGTGGGCTCAATTATAATTTGGATCTTACAATAAAGCTCATTTGACAAATCGAAGCAGTCAAATATTAAAACTACTCGAAACTGCAATAAGTCTCTGAACGAGGCACGTATTAAAATTAAGGCTATGTTTAAAGTTGTGCTGGTGCATTTTCAAAGATTATTTTAAGATGCTAAAACTACAACGAATATCGAAATTATTGAAAATCTTCATTCTTAGTCTATAACTTTTTTTAGTATTAATAGTCGAATACCATTTTCAATTCATTATTTTCGATATTCTCAAAATTCTTATTTTTAAAATTAATTTTAAATTTTTAAAATCTACAATACCTAGAAATAATTTAAACAGTTTTAAATTTTGATAAAAAATTTCAGTATGTTAATTTTTTTAGCAAAAGTAAATTATTTAGTCGGAATTTTACATACTGAGTAATTTTTATTTGTATTAAAAAAGGTAAAACTTAAATAAAAAATAATTATATTATTTAAATTTGGTACAAATCACATACTTTTAATGATAAATGCTATGATAAAAGAAAAATGCATTTTTCTGTAATATACTTATGCCTCCTCCTTCTTTCCCTGTGGACTTTTGAATTTCTTCCTTTTTAATAAATTAAAACTTCCATAAGTGATATATTTTTCAGATAAAAATGGAATGTAAAAGGCTCGAAGAATTTTGTTAGAATTTTCCGTATTTAGAAATGGAATTGCTTTCATTATTGACCATTCTTTACGTGCTGAATAATTTGGCTCTAACATTGTGTACTTTCCGATATCTAAATCTATTAAAAAATTGCACTTATCATAATCAAAGTACATTCGCTCATCTTCCTGATTCATGTCATTAAAATATGGATGGATTATAGCTGTTGCGTTGTCTCCATTTGAATAATACGCTGGCAAAATACCTTTGAATTCTGATTTTAAAAATCGTATGCGAAAATGTTTCGAAGGTAATAAAAAACTTGTTGGATATCTATACCAATCTTTTCCAATGCATACGTTATAAGTATTATCTTCTCGAAATTGAGGACTATTTTTAAACTCATTTAATTCGAGAAGTAGATTCATAGGAGCATGATAATTTCTATATAGTGCCAGAATCCTAGACATTCCTATACCAGCACTCACTAACATTACAGCAATCGCAAACACCATAGTATCATCAAGATAGTGAACACCATTTTTAAATTGTCTAAATAAGCATCTTATACGAAAAATTAATTTTTGAAATATATCGACAGTTATAGCACCACATAAACTTATCATTGGATATATAGGAAATAAGAACCGCTCTTCTTTATGTGGTTGGATAATAAATACAAGCAGCCATAAATAAAACGGTGACAATGTTAAATAAGCCGGATAATTTAATGTGCTTCGCGATTTCGCTGGCACAAGTAAGTACTCAAATATTAACATAACTGGTGCAACTAAAGCAAATAACTGAAAGAAAAGGCTTGTAAAAATTCATATTGTTTTATATTTTCAATCTTACCCAAATTATATTAAAATTTAAAAATCCGTTTATTAAATAATATGAGTAAGGTTCAGTTCCATATAAATTCGGACCATGTTCTGTGAACACGTTGTATAATATTATATTAAGTGGAGCAACAGTAATTTTACCAAAGAAACTAGTATCTATAGCAATCATTGGCAACAATATGGTTACTGCTGATATAGCTGCCCATATTAAAAAACTTCTCCACTTTCTAGCTCTAACTGACATGTCATATGCAAGTGGAAGCCCAACTAAAGCTGCAAAAGGCCATCCTAATAATGCAGAAATAGCAATGAAAAATATTGCTAAATTGTAATTTTGAAGCCACCACGCAGCCAACGCTGCAGTTCCAAAATACATTGAAAATGAGCTTGGAAGCAAAGCGGTACTTGATATAAACATTCCAACACTAAATAATTGAAATATAAGCCAAAGTCGAGCAATATGGATGCCGAATTCCCTTGCGACAGCTCTAAATTTGAAAATATAAAAAACATATCTATATTTGAAATTTCCTTTTCATCATGGACATATGTATGTATATACTTATAAAAATATCGCTCGATTACTGCACAGACTAGCGCCAGCATACATCTTGTAAAGTAAAATATCAATAACGGACTAGGTTCGAAGATTTTATTGTATATCCAACCTGGAACTCCTTGCAACATCAGATATGTATAGGATCGTAGAGCAAATTGCGGACTATATTCCCACGTTTGCAAGCCATGGCCATAAATAATATAATGCAATGGTTCCCAGTAATTAAATGTTTCATCACAATCACTTATATATGCCCAAATTGCACTACAAAATCTTGCACTTAAAAATACTTTGAATGCGGTATCTATACCAGGAACAGCAGAATGTGTCTTTTGACTAGAAGATTGTCTGTATAATAAAATAAGAGAATATTTCATGCGCACATCTTTTAATCAATCTATTTACCCATTTGATATATTTTTATTCCGTGCCAAATTTGTTTCTTTGTTTAATTTCTTCAAAGTTTTTTTTGAAACTATTTGATGATTTGAATCAGAAAATCGATGCCGAACCATCCTCTTATTTTGATATGGTGAATGATGCAAACAAACTTCATTTCATTCCATATTGATTGACAACTCATGATAAAAACGATGTTGGTAACTCAAGGTAAAAAAATATTTATGGTCTAGTAACTATGTTACGTTTTTGTATATTAATATAGATTAATATTTTGTATATAGCCTATTGTACCACCAGCTTATTGAGATTTATTGTATGGAACAACTTTTTTCCTAACTAATAAAGATCTACAAGCTGGTATGTGTCAATGCACCATTATAATAACAATCGTGTACAACGATGAGTTGTTAACGATATTTACTCAATATTATAAAATTCAGGTTTGTTTGAACAAACGACAAATTTGGTCTGTCTGGCACTCTCGTATAATACTTGAAAAAAACTTTTAAAAGAGAAAACGGTGACGTGAGTTGTCGCAAAGAAAAAAAAATAAACTAGACTTAACAGTTGAAAAACCTCTCAAAAACTTTGTAAAATATTACCTATTTTTTCACAAAAATACAAAATAACTAAAATGAATATTAAACACAAAATTTAAAAGTGTAAAATTTTAGAGGAACAAACATATCAAGCAAAGATCCAATTGTTTCAATTTATCTATTGACAAATTATGGTTGTTGAAAAAAAGTTTTTTGAAAAATAAAACCTTCTGACATAACTAAGAAAAATATATGTTTTGACAGCTTTGGTTTTAAAAATTTTTAAACACTAAATTTTGCTTTACAAATTTTTGAGAAAATTTTAAACCAATTTGAAAATAACAAGATTTTTAACATCTTTTTAGATACAAATTAATAAAAAATGAAGAAAACCAAAGCGAATAAAATTTCAAAGTGTTATGAATACCATGATAGATTCCGTGATATTCATGTCGACTTATTTTACGTTCCGTTGTGCAGTATTAAACAACTTAAGATCCGAATTTTCATTTGTTTATACATTTTAAGCAGTATTAATATCGATTCAAGCAGTATGTAGCATCGATCTTTTTTTTTGCTGAAAGTCCAAACCGTACGAGAAAGCTGTCAAATCAGTTCAAAATTTTCAAAACTATTTTATTTTTATATATTATTTATTTATGTATTATTGCCTATTGGATTGGAGTTGATTCGGGAACCAAACTGACGTGTTTTTAACTGTCAAAGTAAAGCTTAGCTTGCAAGATACACTAAAAAATCTTTAAAAACAAAGGCAAGTCCACACTCAATCTACATATATAATGTTCGGGAAAACACCAGTAACAGCTTTGGAAGAATTTTGTGCAAAGTAAGTGAATACGCAAATTACTCCTAATAATAAAATTATTCAATTGCACATATGTATGTATGTTTGTCTCTTTATTAAATATAAAAATAAATAATGTAAATTTTTCTAAATTAAGAAAAAACGTCGAGAGACCTAGATATGAATTCATAAATTCAGAGATGGATAAAAGTTTTGTTTGCAGAGTAATAGTTTTTGGTGAAGAGGCAGACGGAGTCGGACGATCTAAAAAAGAAGCTAAACACGACGCCGCAGCTAATATGAACAAACGCTTAAAACTTACTTACCCTGATATTGAAGAAATACCCCAAGCACCTCACGAAACTATTTCGACCAGTGATGCAATAGCTGCTTTGAGAGATCTTTGTATACAGAATGATCATCCTTTACCATTTTTTGATATCGTACAACAAACTGGACCGCCTGAAGCTCCTGAATTTACAGCCGAGTGTTCAATTGCATCAATAAAACGTTATGGAGTAGCTTCAACAAAAAAAGCAGCTAAGCAAAAAGCTGCTCAGCAAATAATTGATATCATAAGATCTGTAAAAAAATTTATTTTTACTTAGGCTAACTAATGAAATATATATTAATTTTAGTTCAATATAGACGAAGGGGAAAAACAAATCGCTTTGCAAGATGCTATTTATACTGAAGAAGAAAAAAACAAAAATCGCATTAAAACATATCGTGAGTTTGTTGATTCAGATATTAAAATACGGCCTGGAACATTGCTAACGGACAGGCATAATTTTTTTAAAAACAAGGATGACGATATAAAATTAGAAGTAAAAAAAGTATTTAACGATCCTCATATATATTCTGAAAGTGATAGAGTCCATCTTTTGCTACAAAAACTTGACATCAAATACAAAATTTCTGAAATGCCAGCGGTATCATCAGAAAATTTCGTTTTTGTTGAATTGTTATGTGATTTTGATTGCTGCTTCGCTGATAAGAAAGATAAAATATGGTCTCATATGTTGGACTATTTTAAAGATATGATACAGTAAATTTTACCAACATTTTTTTTTTAATAGTAAATAATTTTTGCATAGTAATTAAAATGTTGTTACTAAAAATAAAATATACGTTTTAAAATTACGAAAATTTTATTTTAATTGGATAGACTTCGTTGGAACTGTTGATTAATGGAGATTTCCAAACAGATTTTAGCTTAAAAATATTTTAATTGCTATACGTATATTATTTCAATAACTATTATGCTCGCTGAAATATACATACAATAGCAAAGCACTCGGGTTTTATATTTATTTCTATTTTTACAGTAATTTACTTAAAGTAATACTAAATTTTTTATACTCCTTGGTCATTAAACAATATTAATTAATTCACATGCACACACATACATTTGGAATTTTAGACTTGATGTCGCAAATATGAAACCATTTTTTGAGAAAAAAATTATAAAATTGTTTATTAACATATTTAAATATTTTGAAAGTATAATACAATCAATCACTGTCTGAATCTTCAGCCGGATTTTCATCTTTCTTTTCATCAGTCTTATAATGCCTATACTCCTTTTTAAGCTCCCACATATTTTTATGTGGATTCTTCATATTATAATCGCAAACTTCCTTCAAAATTTCTTTGAGATATCCAATTGGTTGTTTTGTAATTTTTACTAAATCTTTTATGTTATAATATTGATGTTTTTCGAAAGCATTAAATAACATATCCAATACAGCATTTTTGTCATCTCGAGCTTTTTTACCTTCTGCTTTTCTTCTCTCACGATATTCAATCTGAAATTGATTAAATTATTATTATTGATATTTATTAAAATTACTCATTAATTTGATAAAAATTTCAATTACGTTATGTTTGTGGTCTTTGACTGGTTTGAAATTTTGTACTACTTTATCTATAGCTTGCACTCTCTTTAAAGGTTGCGAAGCTCTTTTAATTGACTCAAGTTTCAATTGCATGTACGTGCTATCTGCTATTGGACGACATTCCAACTTTTGCACAATTCTCCCTTCCATGAAAAGTTTATCAGGTTGTATGACACCATCGTCTTTACTATTAGATGTTTGTTCTGCGTGAGAAAATACACCTAATGTTTGCTTAGTAACTACCGAAACATCTAATCGATGATCTCTAGGAATCTTTTCCTCAGGATCTAAATTGATAACGTCATCCGATAATGTTAGTGATACTTGCGCTTTTTGACCGGGAATTTTATGAATTTTTAATTTCCCTACGTCCATAGTTCCAGGGGCTTTCTCCCATTTCTGTAATGATTCAAATTGTAAAAATAAAAATATTTTTTTTATTTAAATGAAATCAAATTTGATATGTATATTTCATGTGCTTTTTAAGTTCTACAGAAATATATCCACCTGTGCTATATATTTGGGCACTTTCACTAGCCAAACCCCTCTTCCAGCATTTGATAAATCAAGTTCTTTGTCAACATGCTTAACTGTTTCATTTTTCGACATTTTATTTTGAATTAGTTATGCCTCGAGTTTTTGAAAATATTTGAAATATTTCTATTCGTATAATATAATTTTTTTATTAATTTCTAGAATTTATTACACTAATATTTGAACATGCAACGCAATGTAATTTATTTTGTTTTGGAATTGGAATATGAAATCTTTTTTTGAACAGCTGTTTCGACTATCGATTTGCATTTGATTAAGACATCCCTCAACGACGCTTTTGACATTCATCAGTATTGCTTTTGCTTATAATATTCAGTTGTAAATTAAGTGTTTAATTCAATTAAATAAATTTATTCAACTTTAATACCGCAAAAGTTTTCTTCACGATATAAAATGGCTTATTATTTTTGATAATTTACAGACTTTTTTGGTTTGTTGAAAAAGAACCTCTGTGGCATTTTCTGGTTTTTAAACAAACAAATGATAATGACACCATTATTATAATAATTACTGGCTTTTTCGTCATATATGTGCATATAAAACACAATTATATTCAAAATAACTTGATTATTTTCAAATAAATTTTAAAACGAGTTTGTGATAATTCAATTTAAAAATAATTTAAATACATTTTGACAATAACTAAAGTCGAAAACAAAACGGCATCATTGTCCTTTCTACTTAAAATATTAACGCGGTGTCTACATCCAAAAACCAAAAAGTAAAATTTATGAAACAATTAAGTTTCGTAGAAAAACAAAGATGTCACTTCATGCATTATATAAACGTGTCTAGTAGAATAAAGTTTTGAAAAAAACTTTCTGGTATTTGAACCATACAGCTACAGATGTCCTACTAACTACTAGATGGCGCTAATAATAATTTTAATTGCGGTTGCTGATGTACGGGTTAAAAATAAATGTGATTATGATAAAAAATATTAATTTTTTATAAAGAATAAAACGTTAATAAAATGAATTCAATTTATTTTTCATAGCTCGGGTGTTAAATTTTATCAGAAATTTTTCTTTCCATTTTGAATCTCAATAACAAATAAATTCACTTGGAAGTTCTAAATTTCCTATACAAACTTCTGAAACGTAATAATCTTAATATTAATAGCTATAAAGTGGATTTCGAGAAATAAGGAATTGAACTCCTTTAAAAAATTTAGAAAAGCAATAATTTCAATAACGTGTAACATTTAATACTAATTAAAATTCAATATTTTGATATTAATAACTGCTCTTCAGTACTATATAACTGTAAATGATGATGAAATAAATAATTTGAAAGAAAGTTGTAAGCGTTTTATAGTTACTTAAAGATTAAACGAAATGTTTTATTTTTGAAAGATGTCTACCTCTTTAGTGTTCATCGTGTAATATTTGTTAACAATCAAAAATCATGTTATTCAACTTGATTTGTAGTTAGAATTTTGTAAAGAATTTAGTCAGTAGACTAAATTTTTAATTTTACAGTAGAAATCGATTAAAGCGTATACTCAAGGGACCAGAAAAAATGAACTTTAGAAACGATTTTCTAATAAAATTTTATATCGAAAATTATTTTAGCTACGTATATTACAAACTAGATGTCACTCAAGCTTCATCTAGTTTGTAATATACGTAGAACGACTAGATATCGTTCGTTAAAATGTATATAAAATAAGCTTTGTTATCGTTTTTTGCGTTATAACTGATTTTTATTGTACTTAAATCTCGGTAAGAATTGAGCCTATGATTTCCCAGTTTCCAGCCAAATACAACAATCACAGAGTTAGTAAAAAGAGGTAAAAAAGAAAAGTTAATAAAATTGAACGAATTTGTGAATGATGCTTCAATATATTTACATAAAAATGGTTCATTCTTTTATTGGAATCTTACGTTTTAGCCTCCTTTTCGGAGTCTTATTTCTTCAATATCTTTTAATACTATGTTTTATACATTTCTTTTAATACTACTTCGAACGTATGTTCGAAGGGTATACTAAATTTGCCTTTCCGTTTGTAACGCTAAGAAATAACGGTCTTAGATATAGACTCAAGTGTATTTTTTTGATCAGTGTCAAATTCTGAGTTGGTTTAGCTTTGTCTGTCCGTCATAGTCTGTCCCATATTCAGTTATGGCATATTTATTCGCACACAGGATAACAAATTCGCAGGGGTATCACAGAGTTGGCAAGGCCAACTCTATTTTCTTCTCGTTTTACGATTAGATATTACTTGACATTTTAGTATATATACAATTATAACAATTTAAAATTTACTCAAATTATAATTTGAAATCTTAAAACACTTCATCTGACAATATTGTATAGTTCAGCTCATTTAAGCTATGGTACAAAAGCAGATGTTATACAATATTCATATTTTTGTTTTATAATAACGATGAACTATAAAAAAGAGTTTTATATATTATGTATATATAAAAAAGAGTAAGCAATACAAGATGGAAATCGGAAAGAACATTTTCATATACAATTTTGTGCTTTATGGAATTATGAAAAAATAAGGATGTAACTTGAGGTTTAATTTTTGTTCAAGCATCTTTTTCGTTTTCCTTACTCATTTCGGTTTCTTTCTATTTCATTCAATTAAAAAATATTTTTTCTCCTACTCTTTCTTTTGCGTCTTTTTATTCATTCATGAATTTTTCATTTAATACTATTGTGCAGGCTTAATGAAAAATGTTCTTAAAGAAACGATGTACACACATGTACGTATGAAGATAATTGTAAATATTTACTTGAATATGTCAGAGCCGTAGCCTAATGTTTCAAAACGTGTAGAGTGTAGAAATTTAAAATTGTTATATTATTTTTTTTTCTAAATCATGTAACATGGACAAATTTCGAGATTTTTTTCTATTAAGATAAAATTATGTTTTGTAGATCTATATTTTAATATTTAGTTGATAAAACTTTGTGACGAAAAATTAAGGATCACTTAAATTGAAATTGATTTTGAAAAATATTTTGTAATAGGTTTTATTAATGTTCTTAATATTTTGTAGAGTCGTCGTATGGTTAGTGGAATCGCATATAAATCATCTGATATTAAATTCAAAAATTGAAACATGAATTGAATGTCTTACAAATTTCAATTTTTCATATTGGGCAGAGTTTGGAGATCAAAACCTTTTCATACATTTTCCAATAAAGATTAATGAAACATAATTGCATAAAATATGCGATAGCTTTAATTTAATAAATTTTTCTCAATTCTAATCAAACAGGATCGCAAAAGCAAAATTTGACAATTCAAGTCCTGGCTCATGAATTGAAAATCGTTACTATATTTTTTACTTATATGACATTTCCTTATGTACCATTACTGACTTATGAAAAGTGCAGATTATTACGTGTATACCTCATGTGCTATATAAATTTATTTTTATAAATTATTAAATAAAATAAGGTAAATGAACTTATTTGATTATTATAGTGTAATGGTGCGCTGTCATACCATAAAGAACATGTACACACGTATTGTACGAACATTCAAAATATATGTAAAAAATTATAGTAAGAGAATAAAGAAAGAATATTGAACGAGAAAAAATTGTCTCGTTTTTACAAAATAACAAATACCAAAAAAACAAAAATAATATTTTTAAAGGTGCGATCAACTATGATATATGGCTTCATTGTGTCAGTCAGTATGATCATACAGAGAGAAAAAATTCTTCCACCGTCAACAATTATAATAAGAGTAAATGTATGACAAAACAAAATAAAGAAAACTATTTGAAATCGTCAAAACAAATTTTTATTAAAAGAAAAGACCATATTGAATTAAATGTTGTATGTAATAATTGAGTATGTAAAAATGTTGCCAAATAATATTAACTTAGGTACTATAGGACTGTTATTTCAAATACAAAACGAAAATTGTATTCATTCTACTACAAATATTCAAGTGGTGACTATTATCATTGTGAGATTTAAATTTAGTCGTCGATCTTCATTGTACCCGTACGAACGTATGTTCAAAGGGTTTACTAAATTTGCCTTACCGTTTGTAATATTAAGTAATAATGGTCTGAAGTATGGACTCAAAAGTATGTTTTTGATCAACATCGAATTCTGAGTCAATCAAATTACTCAAACTAATTAAGCTAACCAAATTTTCACAAATGATTTATACTAGTAAATTTCGGAGCCCCAGTTAAATTGGATATGATCGAGTCACTGGTTCGGGTAACTGTCATACAACTACAAAATTAATTTGCCTATATCTCAGAAATTATAAAATCTATGGGTATAGAAGATTCGCATAAGCGAATATGTTATTAGGGCTATTGTTTTTGATAAAATTCGTTGAAATTGCTTGGTTCAATTGCATGTTGGCATACAACTTTATAAGTTGTTTATTTATAGCCCCATAGTTTATTCGTTCATATAATGCAAAAAATTTACAATTTGTTCTAGTAAAAAAAAATGGTAAAAAAATCAGGACATGATTAAAAAAATAATTAAACTTTTGCTTTCAATAACTGGTTTCAAAAAATTATCTAAAAATATTGTGTAAATTTTTATTTGTTATACAGAATTTTGGTTGTAATTTATATTATAAAACTAGTATAACAAAATTTGTGTTTACAATAAAATTTTTCCACATTAAATATGAAATTAACTCAAGAAATCCTAAATACAAAAATAAAATGAAAAATTTTAAAAATGAAAACTCATTTCATAACTAAGAGTTCCGAAAATAAAATTTATAAAATATGAAAAAAGGAAACACGTATTTCTTAGGCAACATTAGCATAAATTTTAATTTTAATGTCAACTACATTCAAGCATTTTTATTTAAATTGCAATTTACCTAGTTCTTAGTTTTTAGAATTAAAATGATAGAAATCATAAAAATTGTATTTTGTTGCCATTTCGTTTCTTTCTAAACAAGTCTACACATTAAAGATTTTAAATTGATTAGAATAAAACGGAAGCTAAAATAGACTACACACAACTATAGAAAAGATTTATGGTTTTTGATAGTGAAAAGCTGTGGCTTACTAGAAATGATCTTGCACCGAGAATAGTAGTTAGTCCTTTTATCAAAGGCAATGAGGAGAAGTTCTTCATTTTGTAATATAAAGAAGTCTGTAAAATATAGAGAAAAAGAGTAATTTCTTATTATTTAACAGAAAATTGGTGTTGGGGTTTAAAGTGCTTTATATAAAAGACTGAAGTGGGAAACTTGGTTTTACTA